TCTTAGAATTTCGGCGATTTGGAACATCGTCCGCTGCTAGTAGATCTCACCATAGAAGATCAATCGCGTCTTAAAGTGATTTACGGCTCTGCAGAGGGTTTCCACGCGGTCGATTTGGACTCCGCTGAAGTATACGATATTTATCTTCCTAAACATGTAAGTGAACCTTAAGTGAACCATACACGGTTCGTTATTTAATAATATTTTTCCCTTTTCTCTTTTGTTGTTGTGCAGACTCACGATGCAATCATTCCGCATTGTATAGTGGCGCTTCCAAATTCAAATGGCATGCAACTATTGCTTTGCTACGATAATGAAGGTGTCTATGTAAATACGGTTGGGCGAGTTTCAAAGAACATTGTATTGCAGGTACATACTAGGTTACTACGATTTTATTTCTGTTTAATCCTATATTCGGTGTACTGTTTTTTAGTGGGGCGAAATGCCGACATCGGTGGCTTACATCGGCACTGGACAAATCATGGGCTGGGGCAACAAAGCAATAGAAGTGAGTACAATACATACAATAATTCAATTGCAGTATCAAGCGTGCTATATTTATAAATGTTTTTTTATGCAGATTCGTTCGGTTGAGAGTGGTCATTTGGATGGTGTGTNGATATTTATAAATGTTTTTTTTTATGCAGATTCGTTCGGTTGAGAGTGGTCATTTGGATGGTGTGTTTATGCACAAAAAAGCTCAGCGCTTGAAATTCTTGTGCGAACGAAATGATAAGGTGTTCTTTAGTAGTGCCAAAGGTGCTTCATCGTGTCAAATATACTTCATGACACTTAACAAGCCAGGTATGGCCAATTGGTAATCAGTCAGCGAATTCATGGGATTCGAAGTGATAAACGCGCAACGTAGAAACGTACGATTATAAAATGAGCGTAGAAATGTGGAAACAAATAAAAGCGCTGATTGGTTACGACGACGCAATCGACAGTTTGTTTCTCGTAATTATAAGTGAATTTTAAATTAAAGTATGTAGTAAACCCAAAAAACGAGACAGATGAAATATGAATATGAAATAAAACGCTAATAATGCTGCTTAATACTGCTGAAATTAAAAACCGTATTATAAGCATTAGCAGAGCAAGAAGAAATTTACAACACCAGGAAGATGAAATGAGACGAAATATCAGATATTTAATATGGAATATAACGAAAACTGGAAGTATATGGTACTGAAGTATATACATACATACATCCTTATGCAGGCATGATGATGCTCTGGATACATGAAATTGATTTTGCAAAGGCAGTGAGGAAGCAATATTATAGTGAGCATGCTGAAAACTTGTATTTTAATAAATGCTATTATTAAGTTGTGTTTTGAAAAATTTATAGAAAACAAATTAGAATGAAAACGCAATTACTTCAAATGCAGTTGTTGCAAAGCAAACAAATCCGGCAAATATCCAATACATAAATATCATCATTGCTCGCGCTAAAAATGAGGCATAGTCATAGGCGTAAATTTTGATATTGAAACTCGACACTCGTTAAGGAATGTGTTTCATTAATTTTTAAACAGCTGTCATTTTATTTTCATATAATCATTCGATCACAAATGTCCTGATTGGGGGCCTGCTGTTAGTTTTTCCTCATGAAGGCTGATGCACGGAGANATTTTATTATAGCATTATTTTTTTTTTTTAACAAATTCCATAATTCTAATCCTCAGTTAAATACCGTTAGCGGCGTTACTGACTCCATGCATGTAACATTGTGTCTGTAACGTCGGTAACGATGTTTAACTGGGGATTAGTCTTAACCAGAGATGTTGAAAATGGCCCTAAATCCCCGATTTAACTTACTCGATAGGTATTGCGTGGTTTTTTAAGAGCCTCTTTAATACAAAAAATTGCTTATGAAATTCATACATTTTTTAAATTAAATTTCTTCAACATCCTTCTGCATGAATGGTTTAAAAGTTAGTTTCGCTAAAATACTTTCGTAAGGCATAAACACGAAATTTATTCCTGAAAATGCTGTGCCCCATTTTGAGTGTTCGACCCTTTAATCTTGAAAAGCAATCTATTTGTATTTTTTTGCCTATTTAGATAATTGAATATTCACTAAATTTCACTGCACTGCGGTCTTTTTCCTTTTGCCAAATCTAGTTTAAGTGATTTGCTATTTCAATCAATCTGCAAACCTTGTTTTTGTGAGCTTTACTCACAATGAGTGCCAACTGGTTTAGTTAAATGTTTTATATCCGATATTAAGCTTTTGATATTCGAAATTTTAATAAGTGTGCCTCCTATAGCTTTTGCTCTCAACATTAAATGAAAGAATGTCTAACATTTGGAAAGCTGTCGAAGAGAAATGCAAGTAGCATACATACTAATAAACACTCCGGGTGCTCGCATGTGTTTTGAAAGCGCACATTTTGACTTTTCGAGACATTCAGCTGAGCGCACATACATAGCTGCCACATCGCTTATATATATATATATTTTTTTTTTGCTATTTCCTACATTTTTTAAAAGAAGCAAGCTAATAATGCACTGCATAGAAGTTTGGATTTTTATATTTAAATCGTATTTAAGCTAAGCCAATATGCCCTTGCAATATTCAAAAGCCACAAATAACAAAAAATTATACGAAAGTTTTCGTATTAATTTTAATTTATCTTATATGATGGAATATATAATTTTTTGGTAATGAATTTATTAAATACTATTAAATATATTATACACAAATACATTTACTCTTTACGTGAAAAAAATATGTATGTAGTTTACATTTTTTCGCTCAAATATGGTTGGTCGCCACAGCCGAAGTCGGGCAAGAGACACGCCCTTCGCGGCACCACCATTTCATGGGCTTATTTTAGTTCATCTTAGTTATGTGTTGTAACATGTTTTTTAATTCTATATAAAAATTTAAACGCCATTTGTAAAAATATAAGTGATAGTACATATATATAAATACAAATGAAAAAGTATACATATATTTAGACGAGTAATATAAAAGTGAATGGAAAAAATCTGAGATGGTATAAATGCACGGAAAGAGAATGTATGCAATTCGTTCTCTGCATAGGAAATATGTAGTTCATCATGGATAGGAGTGAAGTGGAGGAGTGCGGTGAAATATTATAAACTTGATAATGAAAAGAAAGAAACAGCCAAACAAACAACACACACACACACACACACATTTTCACACTCAAATAGACACATTTACATACGTAAAGAAAGATAAATGAGCAGTATGTGGAGCTGCATTGCATTGCATGCATGGAAAGTAAATAAATTATATAAAATTAAAAAGAAAGCTAAATAAAGAAGCAGTTTATATACATACATAAGAATACTAAACGGCCTAGTTAAGCATTTTTTACTGAACTTTTTATAAAAGGTCTAGTACAGGACTTTCGCGATAAAAATAAATGCGTACACTCACACAAATGAATTAAAAATTTAATAAGTACGAGTATATAAATGCGTTGGATGTGCATATTAAGTAAAAAAGCAAAGCAACAAATTAACGAGTTAACACATGCAATCATAACAAAAGCAAAAAAGGTAAAAAGGATCTGCAACAAATTTAATTTGTAGTTTTTAGTTGTAATATGTTTTTGTGTTTTTAATGTTCTCCACAAAAAAAAAAATAAAAGAGTAGTTAAATGTGTTTGTGCTTCACCTCACTCACTCTTAAATGCCCCACCAATCAATGTCACAACGTTTCAACATCCGATGCATGCACACATCCAATTTGTAGCTCAAAACTCTTGAATCTTTTTTTTTTTTGCCAATAATATTTTTAAAGTTTCAGGCCGCTGTTTTTGTCAAGGTGCATAACTATGTAAAACCAAGACCACATCCATTTTGTCGCATCAATTTACAATGTTGGATCTTCATATTGAAGTGGCCAAGTCGACTCTCCTATACATGTGTATTTATATGTATATTTGTGTGCAACACTTAATACTATTTGTTTTTAGCTCAAAATCTATTTTAGAAATACAATAATAGCGAACATTAATCTCTTTCGACCAAGCTTCTTTTGCTTTTTCGTGTTTTCAATACAAGATCTACATACATAAATTTAATCAAATTGTAAAATTTAATAAGTATGTATTGGAACTTACTAAAGTCGATAAATGCTTTTTGTTGATTGGTTGAACGCATAAATTATTATTAATGTTCGGATTTCTGTTATTTGGCGTATTGATTAAATCTATTTTATGCCCTAAATCTACTAAACCACTACCCCCTTTTATTATTATTTGTATGTATGTTTAAATTTATAGACCGACATTGATTTGAACAATTTATCGTCTTATTAGTAACCTGTAAAGCGCATATATCTTTAATATTAATTGAAATAAATATGAAATATATATATATAATCTCAAACCTAAAATGGCAAAAAAAATTGTTGTGTTTTTTTTTCTCGCACGTTCACTTTGTTGGTAAAATCTGCATTCTTGCCGGCGACACCTGCTAGTTTGTTTTATTAAGGAAAATGTCAGAAATTGGAGCGCTCGAATAATTGTGATAGAAATTTTGGTGTATTGTATATTCTAAATTTTTTATTGCGGCTATGTTTTTGCTTCATAGTTTTTCCCATGATACAAAAAAGAAGATAGTTTCTCTCTGTCACTTTTCGGGCGCCATATTAACTACATAGAATTAAGCAGATTGTGACATTTCATGCTACCATACCTAATCCTCAAAAATAATTCTTTTGTAAAAAAAAAAAATAATAATTTACAAAATTGAAAGAAAATTTTTTTTCGATTTGAGCAACAAAGAAAATTGAATTTCATACATCTTAATATTTGCAAACCAAGCCAACCAATGTCTTCTGTGAAATTAAAGACCGGTAAATTTGTTGCCCATCGCAAAAATTATTTAATATTAAATTTGTTTATTATACAGCCAATCGTCCAAACTAATTTTGATGTGCTTTGCAAACGGTAGCCCCCCAAGTAAGTCTTTATTTTCGGAGCTTCGTGATATCATAGAATTGTCTCTATTATAGTTACGGACGGTAATATTACTAGACTTTCTCGCATTAATTTTTATTAAGATATACGCAGATGCATTCCGATCCAGCTGAAGATTACGACAAAATGAAAGCTTACGTACAACAGAAAAAAGTTAGCGAATTTAAAACAATTTGGCAAATCAATTATGCATAACATTCTGTAACCCATTAGCAACAATTTTCATCCTTGCAAAAAGTTTCGCGAACTAACTTATTTTGTATATAAAACTTACTGTAAAATATGACGATAAAATATTTAAAAATATTATAAAGACATGTACATTAGGGTGGTCAATAATAAAGTAAAGTCGAAATTTTAATACTCTCACCCCCTAGGATTGTTCTATATCGAAAAAATATACACCTGTTTTTTTCAAATTTGAAATCAAGAAACTAAAAATTGAGCTGCTTCTTTCCTGAGTGCAAAAGCACGAAATACATATATGTATCTGCAAAGCTTCAGCAAAGAAATTAAGAAAATCACAACATAGATTAATGTTTTGTTACATGTTAAGTATGTAAATTTGTTTATTTGGTTTAAAATAAATAATTGTATAAAAACTCGATTTTATTTCCTCATATCTGCACATCGAGATTCTTCAAAAGTAATTTTAACGCTTGAGAAAACGTTGAAATTTGATTATCGATCACATCAACTTGCCTTTTTTACTCTTGTATTGAATCCCAAATATTGAAAAAAAAATCTTCCTTCTCGAAAAATTCCAATGTGGCAAAACTATGCTTAATGTTTACATTTGGAGAAATGTCAAAAATCTGCTTTATAATTTATAATCAAAAAATTGTAGTAATGAAACTACCTTCTTTTTTGTATCATGGGTTTTCCGAATGCATTTATTTTTATTTCATATTAAAAAAAAATTCTACATTGAAGGTGAAACCTAACAAATTTTCCATTGTCACTTAGCTATTGTATTTCACTATTTCTGTATGTTTAAAAGTGAGCTTATTTATTGAGATGTTACGGTCTTGTTTGAGACACTAACAGGCCTATTCTGCGTTGGTAACAAAAACTTTGTCAACGGTAAATAAAGTTCCTGGTAATTTTAAAACCATTTTCGCATTCTTCGCACTGGTAAATTTTGTTACCATCTCATACGCAGGTAACAAAATATTGCCCTGCGAAATATGCAACACCAGAATTTATACAAAACTTCATAGCTGAATTGCTGAATAGATTAAATTGTTGTTGTTAAATTGTTGTGCTTAGAATTGCGGTTACAAGAAGTGGTGTTATTATTTGGTAACAAAATTTTCCGGTGTCAAAATTTTCGGTAACAAGCAGAATGTTAATGTTAATGAAACTGCAGCACTGATGAAAATTTGTACCGCGAGAATGTGCACCAGGGCCTTTATCTGTCATATACACTTACATAGGTCTCTCTTTATGCGGCTTTTCAAACCATTTTTTCGCTGTAGCGATTTTGCTTTTTTGAGAGCAAGTTGAGTTTTTATTACTTTTTTTCAGTGTGTAAGAGACAATGCTTCTGGTAAATAATTTGTGTTTGTATTCTTACATAATTCATGTATTTTTGTGGTATTTCTTTTGTTTTTGGTTAAAATACAGATACAATTT